GTGCTGTGATGGAGGAGTGTGTAAATCACAGACTGAGAGTGGTTCATCCCCCTGGGAGGGTTCTGACCTGGTAGGACAAGGAATTTGGAGCTGGATCTCCCACTCCAAGCTGAGACTCCAAATCACTTCACATACTGGAAAACTCCTGACCTTTGGGCTCAGAACCTTTCCAAGAACTTGAACCACTCTCAGTTGTGCTGTGATGGAGGAGTGTGTAAATCACAGACTGAGAGTGGTTCATCCCCCTGGGAGGGTTCTGACCTGGTAGGACAAGGAATTTACAGCTGGATCTCCCACTCCAGAATGAGACTCCAAATCACTTCACATACTGGAAAACTCTTGACCTTTGGGCTCAGAACCCTTCCAAGAGCTTGAACCACTCTCAGTTGTGCTGTGATGGAGGAGTGTGTAAATCACAGCACAACTGAGAGTGGTCCATCTTCCTGGGAGGGTTCTGACTTGGTAGGACAAGGAGCTGGATCTCCCACTCCAGGCTGAGAATCCAAATCACTTCACACACTGGGAATTTCCTGATCTGTGGGATCAGAACCCTTCCAGGAAGATGGACCACTCTCAGCTCAGTTAAGCTGTGATGGAGGAGTGTGTAAATCACAGACTGAGAGTGGTTCATCCCCCTGGGAGGGTTCTGACCTGGTAGGACAAGGAAATCGGAGCTGGATCTCCCACTCCAGAATGAGAATCCAAATCACTTCACATCCTGGAAAATTCCTGACCTATGGAGTCAGAACCCTTCCAGGAAGATGAAGCACTCTCAGTTGTGCTGTGATTTTTCACACTCCTCCACCACAGCCTGACTGGAAAGGGTTGATCTTCCTGTGAGGGTTCTGACCTGGTAGGACATGGAAATTAAACCTGGATCTCCTACTCCAGGATGAGAATCCAAATCACTTCACATACTGGAAAATTCCTGACCTATGGAGTCAGAATCTTTCCAGAAAGATGGACCACTCTCAGTTGTGCTGTGATGGAGTGTGTAAATCACAGCACAGCTGAGAGTGGTTCATCCCCCTGGGAGGCTTCTGACCTGGTAGGACAAGGAATTTGGAGCTGGATCTCCCACTCCAAGCTGAGAATCCAAATCACTTCACATACTGGGAATTTCCTGATCTGTGGAGTCAAAATCCTTCCAGGAACTTGAACCACTCTCAGTTGTGCTGTGATATTCACACTCCTCCACCACAGCCTGACTGGAAATGGTTGATCTTCCTGGGAGGGTTCTGACCTGACAGGACACGGAACTTGGAGCTGGATCTCCCACTCCAAGCTGAGAATCCAAATCACTTCACACACTGGAAAACTCCCAACCTTTGGGCTCAGAACCCTTCCAAGAGCTTGAACCACTCTCAGTTGTGCTGTGATGGAGGAGTGTGTAAATCACAGCACAACTGAGAGTGGTCCATCTTCCTGGGAGGGTTCTGACCCCATAGGTCAGGAATTTGGAGCTGGATCTCCCACTCCAGGCTGAGACTCCAAATCACTTCACACACTGGAAAATTCCTGATCCCCATATCACATACCCAAAAATGGGGGTTGGAACTAGAGGGTCTTCAAGGTCCCTTCCAACCCAAGCCACCCTGGGATTCTGTGGCAGATGTGGCCTCCAAAAAGCCTTCAGACCTGCCTGAGTCCCACTGAGCGTCCCACAGTGTTCCCACCTCTTGGGAACACCTGAGTTGAGCCTCCAGCTGATGGAAAAGGGATTTTTGTATCCCGGGTTTCCATCCATCAGTCCCCATAAAACAGTGGCTTGGATGGTCCTCATCTGTAGGTTCTTGGACCACCAGGCACCACCCTCTATAATGTCCAGTAAACTGAAAATTTGATCCCAATTCCAGCTTTTCCCTTTGTTATCAGATCCATTTGAGGCCTGAAAGGTTTCCATGGGATAAAACACAAAAGAGACACGAGGCTGAGGGACTTTTTACCCAGGCAGGGAGGGAAAGGACAAAGGGGAATTGTTTGAAACTAAAAAAGGAGAGATTTTGATTGGATATTAGGAATAAACTCTTCCCTGTGGGGGTGGTGAACCCCCCCCCAGCTCTCCCAGCC